GCCTCTAGGGCTAAGTGCATTCTTTTATTAATTATATATGTTAATTTTTTTTAATAAATAATATTTATATCACTTCATTATCTATTAATTTATCATAAGAGACTAATAAATATTTTTTATAATAAATTTTAAAAAAATTGTCTCTTTATCAACTTTTCAATTTACACACATGTACACATCATTTCTTAGTTCAAGTTTCTTCCTGCCCTTAAAAAATATTCCTGGCTCTGCCACTGCTTGGCCATCTGGATTTTCCTCTGCTTCCTGTTCCTTGACTACAGCTTTTCCTTGATGATCCACCAGGTCCTTTCTCATCAAAGAACTTTGATGCCTCAGCATACGTACATAATCGATCCCCATAGCTAGGAAACATGAAAGGACAAACGAGCAAGACTACAACAAATACACCATACAACTTCAAATCTGTTTCCCCCCAATCCCACATCCACTTTCTATTTTTGGTAAAGAAACCCCACGTCCTCTTTAGTATTCTTTTTATTTTCCTCATACATCATCTTCTTCATCTCACCTCAACCACCCAGCCTTTATCTCTTCGTCTTTTTCTCGAACTCCAGTGTCATGCTTCCCTTGCAGATCGAATCAATCTCAAAAGGTCGGTAATTACATTTCTTGTTCTATTTTGACTATTGTGCTATTCTTTCCTTAATTAACAAGCTAAGATTGCACCTAAAAATGCCAAATAAACAACAAATATAAATGCTAGTACTAATAATACTATGCTTTATACAAGTAAAAAGAAAAAACCTATGAATACTAATATTTGTAATATGCAAAGACAGAAAATAAAAATAAAAGGCAAACGAGAAAACCGACATAGCACTCTATGAAGGCCAAGTTTGCTTCTCATTTGGAGAACTCCAGAATCTTAAATTCCTGCGAATGGTTCTTTGAGCTGCCATAGGTCAAGTTTGTCTCTTTATACTCAAGGTTAATAGATTTTACAAGGTCTATGCTATCTAATAATGACAATCTTTAACTTTTCAAACCTTGTTTTACCCTTTCATTGTTTCACATTAAAACTTTCAACAAGTCCTTAAATATCTAATAATTAGGCAATTGCTTTTGATACAAACATGTTCAATACCACAAATTGGATGGATAAATAGGCAGTACAGAGGATGTACAAGAATCAAAATATAGATCTTCAATATAATTTATTTGGTCAGTAAGTTGAACAAGTTTGTGCTTCATAGTGGTGATTCAACTAATTAAAAAAGCTTGAGATTCCAATTTGAAGATTTTAAATTCGAATCTTGAATCGAATGATAAGAAGGTATTTAGAAAAAGGAAAGATATATCTTTTCTTATATAACTTATCATTAGTCATATTAGGAAAAAAAAAAAAACAAGTTTGTTTCCTAAGATTCCATTGAAGAAGAAGTCAGGGGAAGATTCTTCTTCTTTGGAAATGAATTCATAGTAGGGTGAGCTTAGCCCTCGCATGGCCTTGTGATATCTGAAAGTGGTTGGTAATGCCAAAATGAGCCATCATAAGCCAAACATGAGTGAGAAGCTCACCGCCTCGCCTCAGCTGCTTAGCATGGTGGATTCCTCTGCACTGACTTGCTGCATATGTCAATGTCCCCATCCAAATCCCATTAATCATCTTCCATTTTGCTTCTTTGTCCTTGAACTCTCTCAACGAACACGCCAGCCTACAAGCATCAAACAGCACAGATTTGCTTCTGTCCCCTTTAACTTTTTTCGGTTGAATATCTGTCTTTAACTCCAACAACATGTTAGCAGCATTCAATTTCCTACGCCGGGTATTTTCTAACAACCGCTGTTTCCTTGATAATCCACTACTTCCTCTCTCATCAAAGAACTTTGATGCCTCAGCATACGTATCGTGAAACACGATCTCCCCAATCCCCATTGGCAACATGAAAGGATATACGAGCAACAAATACACCATATAACTCGAAATCTGTTTTCCGATTTCCACCCTTGTTTTGTTCCTGCTTTCTTCCTTAACCATTCTCGTAGAATAGTAACAGAGTTCCGTAGCAATGTGCCAAATGAGGATGCTTTGGTTGAAATCCACCTCAATGCTCCATTTCAATGCACTCCAATCAAGGTCACCAAGCTGAAAATTTCCCCAGTGGCTGTGTAGATCTCCCAATTGACCTTGTCGTTCCTTGAGAGATTTGAAGATGAATCCTTTCAAATCTTCTTCTACTTCTTTGTGGGTCTCATAAAAGCACATCTCCAACATTTGATCCAAACCCAAGAACTTATGGAGTTTAGGAAAGATCAAGGGTTTTTCTTTGATGAAGAAGCTTAGGAGACTCAACTGAGGAGTACTTCTTGACCATCTCGGCTCTTTTTCCAAACTAAGAGAAGTGATGATTTCCTCAACACACCCTATTTTTCTATTGCTCAACCAAGCATCAGTCTCGTCCGATGAAATGAGAACTAAAGCAGCATAAATCTCAAGGAAAATCGCTGATGAGATTAGTAAGAAAGACACTGCAACTTCACTCGTTGTGGGATGATGCTGCCATACCACGAAAATGAAGACAAAGAAGGAAACACAGACTAGGGAAAAGCTGACGAACCGCCTGGCCAATCCCCAAGGAGTATAAATTGCCTTTGCTTTTGTGTAGAGCAGGTCATAGAGGAATCCAAGCTCGATCTCGATAAGCTGAAAAGCCTCTTCACTGCGAGCATCGCTAATGACAGAGCGGCTGTTGTCGCGGTCACGGAAACTGAGTATAAGGTCGACGAAGAGACGCTTGAATATTGGGAATAAGATGTGAGCTTGACGAATTTCATCAATTTCTTCCCTAGGCCAAAGGCGACGTCCACGTCTAGTAGGGACTTCGGAAATTGTAGGCTCGGTGATATCATCAATGAGCACATTGTACCCTTCCGCCTGCTTGAAATGGTACTCCTCCACGAACTTGTGGTAAGGAGGCCCAGGATCAGGGGAAGTCAGCAAGGATTTCCGAAAATTGTTGCTACTGGCTGACTGAAGAACGCAGATCCTCTCCGCATACTTGCAAAATCCGACAATGATCATTAGCAAGGACAGATAAGAGAGAGTGGAGCTTATCCATACCAGTAGAAGGATGTTGAATGCAACGGCCGTCTGGACGATCAGCCAGAGCATGTGCCTCAGCCACAACTCATTATCTTCTAGGGAGTAAGCTGTTATGGTATCAGGGCCGCCCAAGTGAAGCAAAAGAAACGGTGCTCTGAATGCAATCAACTGGATATCGGGATCAAGAGAACGCTTGGCGGCCGGTAGTTTTCCAATCTTGGTAGAGATAATACCGAGTGCCAAAGACACAACAGAGTCCGCCATTATGTAGGCTGACCAAAGGACAAAGCTGAGCCAACTTCTGGGAGGACTGTACTTTCTACGATTTCCCAGGACTATTAGTTCTATCTGCAAGACGAGGCTTAACACAACCAATACTCTCAGTTCCCAAACATTCCAAAACTCCCTCGCTGCAGGAGAAAACACATTCATTTTCTTTGGCCCCCTTTTTTTTTTTTTAAATGGTAAGAATACGTATAGAGAGAATGAAATGGGCAATCAAGAAGGAAATAAAATTGAAGTTCGCAATCTAGTTTGTTCATAACAAGTTACAAACTATATATAATATTGAGAGATCATGTAAGTTGAGGAAAGAATAGATACTTGAGTGTATTTTTAGCCAGAACTGACAAAACTTATCCCAATTGCGAAGAAAAGAATTGCGCTAAGCTTCATCTTTGGATTACCGGTAAATTAATTAGGTTTGCTATGCCAATAACTTGATATCATGAAACGAGCAAAGTACTTAATGTAGAGATTCTAACCCCTTCTAATTTCTCAAATGAGTTGTAGATAGTTATGGTTACTTTGATTTTTGTTTAAGAATATGATTAGTACATTTTTTGGTTTGATACATCCTTCAACATTTATTCAGTTTAATTATTAAAATATAATATACATACAATACATATAGCCAATTCCTATATGCTATACGCATGGCTGCATCTTTACATTTGCCTATCTTTAATTTAAATTCAAAAGTAATAATTTTTTAATAAGCGTGTTATATAATATATTAAAATAGAAGTATACCAATTAATGTTCGTAACATTTATTAGGGTCCTTTACTTTAATTTTCAATTTTTAGGATGTACATGCATTTAATTAATTATCTAACTGTTGAGAGGAGTCCTTCTAGGCTTCTACTTCCCAAAAGCCATGATGTTGAGGTTCTTGCTTTGCTCCAACGTAGTTACTGTCCAAGTGACTAACGGCGGCAATTCTAGAGTTCAATGTGATATTTACCAATTAAGATAATATTTTTGTTATAAACTAATTCATTATGAATATTTCATCTTCTTCACTTTTTACCTCTTCATTTTTTAATACATTTACACATTAAGTAATGGTGATTAACTCCCCACTTTCTCATGTATGGTGATTAACACCCACTCTCTTGAGTGCATTTACATGGTAACGAATTCTTATTTAGTAGGTGATTAATTATTGTAATTTCTATCATTCTCCCAACCTATATATATGAGATGTAACTTTTATGAAAATGATATGGAAGAAAGAAGAAGAATAAAGCTCTTCAAGGTCCCTTTGTCTCCCTTTATATCTCTTTAACTCATTCTTCTTCTTTTTATTTCTTTCTTTACTTTACAATATGTTATCGTTAGCAATTGATTCCATATGATACGTCTCTTTCGTCTCATTCAAGGTAATTGACCAATTGAGATAAAAATTCAAGTTAAGGTAAAGTTTTGAGGCGAGATTTTGAGATAGAATTTTGTCTTTCATTTTCTAGTTTTTATTTTGAATATTTTATTGTGTTATACTCCCACAGCTCATTTTTAATAGTCATATTTTGACTTTTTAATTTTTTTGAATATAAATTTTAGATGAAAATTTCTTATATTATATAAATGACAATTGAAATTTTTTTTGATTAAATAAAAATACTCCATAAAAACTATAACAAAAATTTTCATTTGCTATTCATATAAGTTAAATTTTTATTTAAAATTCAAATCTTAAAAAATAAAAAGTCAAGTTATAACTAATAAAAATGAATGCAGGGAGTAATTTTCTAGTTTATATGATATTTACAAATATGATAAAATTTGAATTCATTTCTCTTGATAAATTGAGGTTTAACCATACATACTCTTAATACCCAAATTCTTTATTGAGGCTGTTTGCAAGAGATGTGGCAGCCTTTCCACTTCCATATTTTGACATAAAGTCATCCTTGACACGCTCCAGAAAAGCAATTGGTATATGCCGTCCTACCTATTCTTCAGCAACCACACAATATGCTGCGATACACAAAAAGTCAGCCAATCTACAAACACAATGGGACGGAAATGGAATAATAGATAACCAGATACATGAAATGTTGGAAGCATCAATAGCTTAAACTCCATTACATGAAATGTTTGTTTGCATAAGCACACACGCACGATGTAACAGAATCGGCCACAAAATAACCCCTTTCCAAGGGGCAAAATGAACCAAATAATTACTCAATTGCAAGTAAACACAACATTTATTTTAGCAGCCACAATCGTCCTAAAATTAAGCCTCAAATAGCTAAAATGTTGCAGCATAAGACAAATTCAAATGCCTTTCTTCTAGCATCCAAACAAAAGATCAATTAAGCTCAAAAACCACAAACAACTATAAACCCCATAGATCTATCTCTTTCCATTTTCTCTTACTCGACCTGCATTTTCCCGAGAATCAAACAGAAGGAAAAAAAAAAAAAAATCTAAATCTCCTTTTTGGATCCCAGGTACAGCTCCGACCCAACGCAATTTACCGCATCTACCATCCTTTCCCTTTCATTTCTCAATACCCAAACAGAAAATAACCAGATTTACTCCACAGAACAGAGAAAAGGGAAAAGGAAACTTAACTGTAGCCATTGTCGACGAGGTAACTGAAGGTGTCGCCATCGTAGTTGTACGTGAACTTGTTGTTGGAAGCCGGAAGCTTCTGCAGAACTGGAACGCAATGGAATTGAAATTCCCACCTCCCCACGGGAGACAAAAGCGTAGATCAACGATTTCTGCACCATTCTGCTTCCCCCTGATTCAGCCTATACCCTCTTCCCGTGTTTCCTGAATCTGGGTTTTAAAGATGGAGCGAGATCTGGGATTTTGTTTTGATGTGGGTGGTGGTGTTGAGTCTCTCTCTATCTTTCGCTTTCTCTTCACAAGCCCGCGCTCTTGCTTTTGATTTTGTAGAGAGAGAAACAGAAAAAAAATTAAAAGAAAAAAAAAAGTGACAATGGAAGGGTTTAATGAGGTTCAAAAAGTACGTAAAAAAAAAAAAGTTAACAAGTGAGAAGAGAAAAAATATATTGTTTTATTGCTGACCTAATAATTCTATTGATTTGGGTTTATAGTTCTTTAAAATTTAAATTTAAATTATTAATAATAATTGATTTTCTTACTAAATTCGTATAAAATTTAAGGTGTTACAA